GGATCCCCTGGAACTGGAGTTAGATGGTTATGAGCTGCCTTGTGGATCCTGGAAACTGAACCTGGGCCAGGGCTCTTCACTGCGGGAGACCTCTCTCCAACTGCTTATTGATCCTTCCACTTACTGATAAAACAGCCCCCAAGCAGCAAATCCCATACCAGGGAGCTGCCCCATGCCCCGAAGGTCTGTGTGGGATGGTGAACTCTGTCATCCTTCCGCTGTCCCAAACAGTGTGGACATGCCTCTCTCACTCTGAGGAGACGCTGGGCTGTGTCCGTGTGGTCTGTGAAGCTGCAGTGAAGTTAGAGGACAAGGTCAGCTCAAGGTTAATGAGGACCCATGATTCCCACCCATGGCTGTCAGCCTGCATGCTTGTTAGGCCACCTGAGAACGTTTAAAGTGCAGTAGCCATGGTGAGGCAGTTCAATAAGAATTTCTGGCCTGGCGCTGGTGTGTTTGAAAAGGCTGCGCAGCCAGGATGAGAGCTGAATAGCTTCCTCAGAACCGGAGGCCTGGGTGGAAATCATGACACAGAGTGCATAATTATCTCACAAGTTGAGCACCCCTTAAACCCATAAATCCAGAGCACTTTGATATCCAAACCTTCCTGAACAGAAACATTAAGACATGGATTGTACATGAAACATGGGTGCACTTGGCAGTGGTATACAAAATCAGTACCAGGCTACGTACATATGACACACAAATGAATTCATGTTCAGACCTGAGTCCCATCCACAGATGTTTCATTATGTGTGTGCAAATATTCTCAAACCCCAAACAGCCTGGCATTCCTGGGGGTGAGGGATCTTTACCTTGTGATAATGTCAGGTCTGGTTTGATCCCTGTTAACTCTCACACAGGTGGTGACTGAAAGGGGAGCTCACTCAGCACTTAAGATCGAGCTCTTCCAGAAGACCAGAGTTCTATCCCCGCAGCTCACAACCACCTGGAGTTCCAGCTCCAGGGGCTCCGATGTCCTCTTCTGGCCTCCATGAATGTCTGCATTCATGTGGCATCTGTACTCATGTGCCTGTACTCCCAGGCACACATAATAAAAATGTCTAAAAAGGGATGGTGAATGAATAAATAAGTGAATGCTAAAAGTTACTTTGAAGCTGGTTCCTAACTGAGATGCCAGGCTAGCTGGGTCCTTTGATCATGGACCTTTCTGGTCCTTGTGCCTTTCTGGATCCTTGTGTGGCTGAGAGGATTTTGGCAGGAATCATAAACATTGTTCAGCTAGTGAATACAGGAAGACTCCTTTGCCCTGAGACAGATAGGTTGATTGATTTTGAGACACACTCTCACTGTATAGACCAGATTGCCTGGAACTCAAAGAGATCCTTCTGCCTGCACCACCATGACCTGCCCTGCCCTGAGATTTTAATTGAGTACTGCACAGCGTGAACTCTGGAGTTTTTACTTACAAACCTTCCTGGCTAGTTGAGGGGGCCTCACTGCTGAGGCTGTTCCTACAGGTGGGCTGGGCAAGGTGAGGCCCCAGAGGAAACACTGCTGGGTCCAGTGGGGAAACATCGGCTTCTCTCAGTGGGAAGATCCTATTGAAGAACCTCATGGGGAGGGGTGCAGTCAAGTGACCTGGGGTTTCTGATGGTCTCTGAGGACCCTGTGGGCCCCAGGAAAAACTGCCACTAGTTTCTATCCTTTGGTGTCACATATCCCTGATGACAGGAAAAATGCCAGATAGCTGGGTTTTTGTATAACATCTCTGGATTGGCAAGCATTTCTTTTCTTTTTCTTTTTAATTAAATGTGTGTGTGTGTGTGTGTGTGTGTGTGTGTGTGTGTGTGTGTGTGTGTGTGTGTGTGTCCGTCCGTCCAGGTCTATGTATGTGTGTATAGGTGTGGTAGTTGACTTTGATTATCAACTTGATACTATCTAAAGTCACCTGGGAAGAGAGTCTCAAACTCTGGCCCAGGCTCAAGGTTAACAGAGCCAACAAGTTGGTGCAGGTACCCCAGGGTGCCTGATGGTGAGGGCTAGTGGCCTTGCTGTGTGCAGAGGTGATGAAGGGCGGGGCTAGGTGCACCTTGTGGATTCTGCCTTAGCTATAGGGCAGCTGCTGCCCGGTGCTGTTTTGAAGTGGCCAGGTAGGCCAGGACTGGACCTCGGGTAGCTGTAGCCTGAGGCCTTGAGGAAGGTTGGCATTGTGGTGTGTCCATGTGGAGACAACCATATTTGGAAATTTTCTGAAACTCACTGTCAGCTGAGGGACTGGGGAGTGAGAAAGGAGCCTGGGTACCCCTTAACCCTTCAGGCATAGTCTCAGCACACAGTGTATTTGAATTCAGACTATTCTCCTGAGCCCTGCAGAGAATGCAGAGTGGTGGTTGTGTTATATTAGAGGGTTCCCCTGGAGTACCCCGACTCAGGAACACTGCCTGGGTGCCTGTGCTGATATCTATCGCGTCCCTGTGAGTGACACTGCTGTGTGCCAGTATGTTATGAGGCCAGAAGGATACCTGGCTTTGCACATGGTGACCCTGGCACACATGGTGGGCAGAAGGTGCACCTGCTGGAGCCTGATGCTGCCTCCCCCTGTGCAGACAGGTAATAAATACATCACTGGAGTGTGGGGAACGTGCTTTCATTCATAGACAGACATGAAGTAGCACTGTGGACAGTTGGTTTGGATTCCCATGCACTGGCATCCCCGCAGCCACCAGTATGAGTGACTGACAGTGGGTTTACCTTGCATTATGAAGAACCTTGTTAGGTATCTGATGCTCACCCCTCCCTCCTTTCTCCCCTCACTTTCCTGCCTTCTTCCATTAAACACTCATGCATCTGCATCCTCACTTACCCCAGCCTTTCATATATCCATCCATGTATACAACAATCCACCTACCCACTCACCTATCTACCTATCCTTTATCATCCCTCCTCCATCCTTCCATCCTCACATCATCCATCCATCCACCCATCCTCACATCTTTCCATCTAGCTGTCCATCCATCCACTCACTCATCCATTAACTCAATCATCTCGTTCATATTTACCTCTCATCTATGCACACATTGGCTCCGGCAGCTATTCATGTCTCATCCATCCATCTCCCGACCCACCTACCTACCCACATCTCCCCCCATCTGTCATTCATTGATCACCCTCCCTCCTTCCTTCTCCCTCTCCTTCTGTAGGGAGGGAAACCCCTTTACTACTATTCTCGGTTCTCTGCTTTGTGGCTCTGTGAATTCAGTGACAAAAGACAGATCCCCAGAAGAAAACGCTGTTCACTCAGCAGCCCACACCTACTCATCCTGGGTCGAGCCTCTGTGAAGAGTGACTCAAAGGCTTGTTTGGAGCTCTGGCCTGGGGTAGCATCTGTGCAAAGGAACAATGAAGAGGAGAGAAGGGACTTGATCTTGGGTGACAGTCTGGGGTGGCCAGCATGGGGAGGGGAGTGCTGGATAGAGGCCACTCGGAGCAGCCTGTAATGTGGGTTCCCCTGGACGGTCTGTCCTCTGGATGATGAGTATCAAAGTTGTTTCTAGAAATGGACCTTCGGGGAAAGAAAACTACAACACGCAGCACGGACACTTGTGCTTCCCGCTTTACCGGAGGTGGACACCTGCGCTCTGAGGCTGGGCTCTTCCAGCAAGCACATAGCCCTGGGGATGGGCATTCCTAACCCTACTCTCCTGAGAGGTGCCTTCTGAGGTTCCAGACGTCCTTACCGTTGATGCCTCCCTGCCACGGTGCCTTGTGAATCTGTCCATCTGTCTGTAGGACTATCCCATGTCTTTCCACCCGCAGGAACAAGGGGCTGTGTGATTCTTTCGGCAAGTTTCGTCCCCTCTGCTTGGGGTCATGTTTGGGGTCATCCATGCAGAGATCAGGTTTCCTTTGTTCACAGCTTTAGAGCCCATGGACAGAGGGAACCACAGCTTGACCAGGCAGTGCCTGAGGGATGAGGGTGACCATGCATCCCCACTGGCCCAGGGCATCCCAGTCTACATGGCCTTCATCTTCTGGACAGAATTTCCATACAGGTGGAATTGCTGTGTGGTGTGGTACCTTCCCTGCCTGCTCCTCAGAACCCCTCACAGTTTATCCTAGAGATGGGCAGTGTCACCTCTGCAGTCACCAGATACAGGGATGACTTTTCCTGGGTTCTGTTGCTACCTTGCTTTTATTTCCCTATCTTGTAGCCCAGGCTGACCTCAAACTCATTATGCTGAGGTTGACTCTGAACTCATGACCCTCTGGGCTCTACCTCCTAAATACTAGCATTAGAGGTGTGTGCTACCACACCTGGCCCGTGTTGGTCTTTCTGGTGCTTGCTTAAGGCCCTGCTCTGAGTTAACTGTCTACATACAGCCTGGCCGGGGCTTTTGCACTGGCGCTGTCTCTGCATTGGCTCTAAGGAAGGCGCTCCCCCAGCTCCTGCCTCTGGGGACCCCCGATTCTCCTGGCTTCAGCCTGCTCAAGACTTGGGTCTCTGTTCTGCTCTTGGACCTGGCGATGATCTTTCTGAGGCTATCCTCATCTTTTTGTGCTATTTTTATTCTATGCCGCTAGCCACTCTGTGTTTGAAGTAGGGGGTTATTACAGCGTAGCTTGCCGCCTCCTGACCCGGTGCGTGCGTTCCTTCCCCTCCTGCTGCCACTCTGGCCTCAAAGAAAAACCAGAGGTAGCTGTTCCTCCGATGTGGGCAGCTTCAAACTGCCACTGCGGCCACCCGGTAAATCCCCATAGTCGTGGCCACTGCTGCAGCCAGCGGGGACTCCTTCAGAGAAGCTTCAGCACAGTGTGAGGGACCTCCCTGGTTCTGGTCCTGACTGATGCCTCTGCCGAGGCCCAAGGGAGGAGGAGGGATGTGCCCAGTTCTTTCCACCTTTAGGGATCTGACATACAAGCACGTGGGTGCCATGGACTGGCGGTCACATTGGCAGACTCACGAACTAGTCTCCATGGACCCCTGGGTTCTCTCTGATATTCATATTTATTTATTCTCCCTTCTCTTTCCTTCACAGAGATCCAGGCACCATGCCACGCAGCCCCACATCCAGTGAGGACGAGATGGCCCAGAGCTTCTCCGACTATTCCATGGGCTCAGAGTCTGACAGCTCCAAAGAAGAGACCATCTATGACACAATCCGGGCCACCACAGAGAAGCCAGGCGGCGTGAAGATGGAGGAGATCCAGGGCAACACCCTTGTGATTCGAGTCCTCATCCAGGATCTGCAGCAGACGGTGAGCCCCCCCCCCCCCCCGAGTGCAGCAGCGTGCACTTCCACACTGTTTGGATCTCTGTCTAGCCAGCATCGACTGTGGCTTCAACGGTGACTGTGGGACGCTCTGGCCCACCCTGGGCCTGCAGGCTGGTGTTCCAGACCTGTGCTCCTGTGTAGTCTAAGATGTTTCTCACCCCCAGTCCTTCTCCTTCCCTCCTACTGCAGCCTACAATATTCATTGAGCACTCTCCATTCATTCGCCATTGCTATAATGAAATTTATAAAGAAAAGAGGTTTATCTGGGCTCATCAGTTCTAGAAGGCCAAGATCAAAGGCTATCCTTGGTGGTGGCTTCCTACTTAGCAGAGTCCCAAGGTGAGCCAGGATGTCAGAGGCAAAAAGTGGGGGGTTATGTGCATGCTTCTGTCTGATGTTTCTCCCTATTCTCCGGTAACTACCAGGATTTGACAGTTGGATCCCCCCGACTTGACTTCACTTAATTCTAATCGCTCCCCCAAAGTCCTACCTCCTAACATCATCATGGGATTTAGTTCCCATACTTTTCATACTTTGAGATAGAGATTAGATTTGAAGCCTAGAATCCTAAGGGGATACTCAAGCCATGTCCCGGCCATAGTAAGCACCTTCTGCTGGGTCAAGCCTCCAGGCTCCAGGCCTCAGAGCAAATGGCCCACAGGAGCCATCCCTAGTCTTATAGATGAAGTTCAGTGGTGAGCACATCAGCCAGCAGTGTTTAGCATGCCTCAGCAGAGAGGTAGCCAGCTGCCTCTTTTCCGCTGCTCACAGCTCATGTAGACAGCCCGTACCCTCCCATTCCTGGAGGTAGGGAGCCTGGTCTGAGTGTACCTCACTTCCCTACACTGCTCTGGTCACTACCTGCTTGTCCCTCAGTCCTGGGCTCAGCATCCTTTTCTGGGGTGTCCCCAAAGTCCTCGGGCCACAGCTTGCCCATGCTGGTCACCCTGCTCTGTCCTTGGGGATGGGCTTGCTCCCTCAGGATGTTGACTTCTGCTGCTTGGGCTGGGGAGCAGAGGCAAGCTAGATGTGATAGATGGCCATGGATGCCGTGTTTAGATGGGACTTCCCGGGAGGTTCCTGAGCCTGGTGTTTTGACATTTTTCTCTGCCTTTCTTCTTCCTTGTTCTTCAACTCCTTGGGGCTTTTCTGATGAAGCTGGAAGCTCACAGCAGAGATAAGCTTCAGTCCTCATGAGGGGCGGGAGGGATGTGAATTGCTGGTGCTTTGCTGGTCTGGGCTATTGGGCTCTGGCTCTGCCTGGGGCCTGACACAGGGTCATGCAAGGGCCTTTTGAGAATCTGCTCCATGTCTGGGTGTCTGTGACAAGAGGGAATGCCATTTAATTACAAACCAGGAGAAGTGGTGAGGAGGTGCTCTGGGATGACAGGGTGAAGGAAGTGAAGTGGGGTAGTGGGGTGACGGGGAGGGGGGAGGTGGCTGTGGCAATGGAGTGATGGTGGAGGCGGGGGATTGAGTGGTAGGGTAATGAGGTGACTCAGATGGGAGATGAGTTGTTGGAGGATGGGATAGAGAGGTAATGGGGGTGGGGGTGGGGCAGTAGAGTGGGAAGTGAGGGAGATGGGGGGGTAGGGTAGTGGGTGGCAGGGTAAAGCAGGTGAGGTGGGGTGGCATCTCTCTAAGCTGCCATTACCCAGCTCTTGAAGACAGGCTGTGGGGAGGGCTGCGTGGGTGCGGATCACACACACACACTATTCATTAATGAACATCTCTGACATTTTTCATTTGAATTTAAATGGAGGAAAAGCCAGTGAGGAAACAATGAGCATTCATCTTTTTTTTGTTGTTGCTCCAAGAAAGATGGTGTCCAAGGACATCTAGAGGGAAGCATTATTAACCCCACGAAGAGGGATAGATTTTCCTATTTCCTGTTAGATTCTCCCTCTGGCTGTGCTTTTCCTGGGCCACTTCTGCATGAATGAAGCTGATTGCTAAACTGAACTTACCCTCCAACTCCCAGACTCTTGGAACAGCGCCCCCTTCCTCCTCTCTATGGGGAGAGGAGATGGGAGGCTCTCATCCACGCAGACACTTGGGGATTCAGGTTCCTTTACTTGGTAGCCAGGCCTTTCCCAGGGTCTGGGGTCCTCCACATCCTCCTCTGTCTTGAAGGTGAGGGATGGAGAGGCTGACCTGGCAAGTGTTTCACTTCCCTGTGTTCCCCAGCTTCCTTAGAGAGTCACTTAATTGCAGACTGGGCCTTGGAGGGTCTGGTGAGCAGTAACTGGCTATTCATACTTCTTTCCCTCCACCCCCACCCCATGCCCCGGATGGTTTTCCCTCTTCTTCTGGTAAGGGCTCTGCTTACAGACATTCCATATCTTACTTAACACTCAGCACTGCCTGCACCCAAGTACCCCAGAGTCACCCTGACTCTCTTCCCACCTCAGTGCTAGGAAAGGTCAGAGGACTTTGCAGCAGCCTTCTCTCTGGCAGATTCCTGTTTTATGTACCGGTGCACTGGGCAGAGTTCATTGCTGAAGGCAGAGCCTCCTTGTGAATGGGAACATCCTCCTGGGCCTCCATGTGTGTTCTGTCTGCTCTGTGAAGACGCCGTAGTTCATGCTGAGGTTGAGGCATGGATGCTGAGCTCAGGGCCAGTGGCACTGGAACCCAAACCCATGGGACACTGTCTCTTCCTAAGCTCAGCCTTCCTGAGGTCAACGCCATCATGAACTTTAGCATTCTGCTGGAAAACCTATTTATCAACAAATTAATTAATTTTACATGCTTGCATGGTGTGTGTGTGTGTGTGTGTGTGTGTGTGTGTGTGTGTGTACACATGTGTGCACACATAGTTTCTATATGGATGTCAGAGGGCAACTTGCAGGAGTTGGTTCTCTCCTATCACGTGGGGCTCAGGGGCCAAACCCAGGTCGTCAGGCTTGGTGTCACGTGAGCCATCTCACTGGCCCTGGAAGTCTATTTTAAGTGGGGTGTGGAGGTGTGGGGAGGGGTGTGTGTGGTGGGGGAGGAATCTCCAGAACAACTTACACAAAAAATGTGAAAATCACAGCATAGAAAATACGGCAGTATGGACCCCTGTTTACAAGCAAGAGCTGCCACCAGGGTACTAGAGGGTGTGTGTGTGTGTGTGTGTGTGTGTGTGTGTGTGTGTGTACATATCTGCTTTGTTCATATCTGTAAATGAAAGTATTTAGGAATTGTAAGTCAGTTCTCTTAGGTTGGCTTATTCCCAGGCAGAGTCCACAAACAGTGAGGGGTGACAGCATTTTGAAATGTCCCTCTGTCGCCTTTGGTTCAGATGTTCATTTTCCTCTATTTCATAGTTTGGGGCCCAAATTGTTCCTCCTGATTCAGCCACTAGACTACAACTGTTTGTTGTTATTAAGTTTTAGGATAACCCTGGCTGGCCTTGAATTCACTAAATGGCTGAAGATGACCTTGAACTCCTGATCCTCCTGCCTCCAGATCCCAAGTCCTGGGATTATAGGCATGACCACCATATTTGGTTTCTGTGGTGCTGAGGGCAGAGCCCGGGGATGAGTTGCTTCCTAGCTCCTAGAAAGTGTTTATTATTATTTTTAAATTTTTATTTTGAATTGTGTGTATGTGTGTGTGTGTGTGTGTGTGTGTGTGTGGAGAGAGAGAGAGAGAGAGAGAGAGAGAGAGAGAGAGAGAGAGAGAGAGAGAGAGAGAGAGAACGAACATATTCTGGAGGTGTCAGAAGAGGCCATCAGACCTCTTGGAGCGGGGCTGCCTGACATGGGTGCTGGGAACTGAATTCAGGTCCCCTGCAAGAACAGTACAATCCCTGTAGCCCTGAAGGTGGTTGTTGATGGTCCTTCCTGGAAATGTGGATTTGCTTGTCCTTCCTTGCAAGGCAGTTTCCTGGCATTCTGTGCCATATCCTGTGTTGCCAACCGGTTCCTATCTACGTCAAAGGAACCAGCTAGCTTCACGCTGGGACTTTCTTCTCCACGTCTGCGTCTCAGCCTCTCTGTTGAATTTTCTGGTGTCTCTGTGTCATGCATTTGTCTGGACGGGTCTGTCCCCAGGACTCTCTGATCTGGAGTAGCTCTGATTGGCTGACTCTCATCAGTTTTCATCGCTCCACACGGCTTCTGACAAGTATTCTCCAGAGCTGTTGTTTGGCACATGTTCTGATGTCTGATTATTTCCCTCCTGAGTATAATGTTTCTTAAGACAGTCATTCCTCTATGGGGTGAGTTTTCACTCAGCAGAAAGTGGCTGGCTCTCTTCCCACCGTCCTCTTCTCTGCCTTCACTGCTGCCTAGGCCATCCGTCCCCACCTGACTCCAGCCAAGTGACCACAGCTCTGTCCTGTGGATCCAAGAACACATGAGTGAATCCTCTCAGCTCTCTTGTGAAGTTAGATGTATCAGTCTGTCTGTCTGTCTTTACACATAAGAGATGTCGGGGTGGGGTGGGGGCAGGTATCTCTCCTTTCTTTTTTCTCTAAAGATTATTTTAAATGCTTTTCCTTGGGAAGTCCCCTGAGCAGAGACTTAGTCTCATCCTCACGGATGGACCCCCTCCACCCCTCATCACTCCGTGAAGAGCCCTGTCTAAAGGGTCTCCCAACAGCTGGCTCCATAACCTTGTCTCCCACTCAAGGGAGGGGAAGGAGCCTCAGTGAGAGGGAAGAGGCACGTCTTGTACCACAGCCTTCTGCTTCTCTGCAGCTCGTCAGGTAGGTCCTGTCTCAGGATAGGATGCCCCAGTCTCCTCCGTCACTTTCTAGGCTGGCTTCTGCATTTTGGATCATTTATTCTGACTTACTAGGTTCCCAGAGACTGTATCTCCGTGATGGCCTCCAAAGTAGAGAGCCCTTGACCTGCCACCCATTCGAGCTATCCTTGCATTGGAGTGTTTTAAGCGGTTAATCTTTATTTTCCAGAATTGCTTATTGACATAGCCATTCATGCTGTGGACTATGAGAAAACTCCAGGGTGCAGACCTAGGACCTGAAGATCAGAG